AAACCTTCTTAAAGAGTTTTAGCCACTGTATTGTGCCAGTTTTTTTTTTCTTGATGCTTTCTTTGATATTTTAGGCAGAGCATCATCTTCACTTGTAGCAACGAAATTACACTGAACTAGCACAGAACCAGATCTGTTGAAATCCTTACGATTTCTATCCGCACACGATGTTGCTTCACCCTTCTTCTTGCTCCAGTGTATAATGCTCAAGCATCAAAGTGGAAAGTGCTTATTGGAGCCACAGAGGTCTGGTTTAATGCGAGCAGGCCCTGGCTTCTATTTATTATGCAGTCGGAGTGTCAGGCCTGCAGAGATGCTCACTCCATACATCTTTGATGTGCAGTCACCCACTGACACTACCCAGCAGGCCCTGGGCTTAAAGCGCTGACCAGTGTGTTTCTCTTCAGAGACAAGAAAAAGAAAACCAAGGAGAGAAAGAGAGAGACCTAAGGGGCATAGGACAGTAGTAAGCAGCTCTACCATTATACCGTATGGAAGCCGTGACTCACTGAAACATCAAACACACACACACACACATTCCACAGAGTCTAATCACTTCAGTATGTCTTCGCTAACCCAAATTACCTCACCAAAACACACATAATCTCTCAGAGTCAAAAGCAGACACACAGTCCATTTAAACACACTCCAGTTTTCAGCAGTTCAAACACACACACACACACACACACTCTTGAGTATTATGTTTTCTTTTCACAGAGAAGATACACTCTACACTGAACTCTATTCAACATTATATCACACACATTTTCTTCGCTATCTAAATGAAGACATCAAATATACCTTTACTGACCCAAACTTTGTGTATTTACAATATTTTCTTTGCTGTTTTGGGGGAACATATGTGGAATTATATGGAACAGATTTAAACATGGTAAATGTCATTGGTACCCCAGTGAAAAACAAATATACTTACATGTATCTGAAATACATTTATTTCATGCCAAGTATACTACAAATACATTTACATATTTATGTACTTAATAAAAATCCCCTGCAATTGTACTTTTAGTATACTAAATTGTCTAAATTGTACTCAGTGCACTTTAATTGTGCAGAAGTCCAGCTAAAGATATACAAAAGTATATTTGATTGTGCTAAAGTGGAACTATATTGCAAGTATGCTTCAGGTACACTTTAAATATCTTGCATTTAAAGACCGATATTATTCAAAGATCCTACAATCCTCATCAATAGTGACATTAAAACACATTTTGGGCTTAATATTACGAAATGTGCATTGTGCACAAGTAGCACTCCAAATAAAGTTTCATTATAATTTTTAAATCAGTAAGTCTCAAGAGATATGTAAGTAAATATGTGAATAGATTTGAATTATAATTAGTGTGAAATAAATGCATTTTAAATATGTTACTTTTTTTACTAGGGTAGCCAAAGGTAAAATCACATCAGCCAAAATATTTAATACACAAACAAGAAAGTAGTAGGGGGTATAAAAATAAAAATAAAAAATTGTATCTGACAATCAATATGCAGAATTTAAAAATGTAACAAAATAATAATTAAGAATTATTATATAATAATTATCAGACTGCAATAAAAACAATATATATATATATATATATATATATATATATATATATAATGAATATTTTA